GGCTGATGGGAGAGTGGATGACACAAGCATCATAAGAGGAGAATAGAAATTAACGCCTACTAACCAGCACTTACTCTCATATTTGCAACTCTCTTATTGTTGTCCATTTTTATACTCTGAGTATATTCTAATTTGTTGAAGAATTTATTTTTATTCAGTAAATGTAATTTTTACATTCACTATAAAAAAATTACAGATATTAACTATGAAACTCTTTATACTAATAACCATAAACAAGTGATCTTCTTGCAATTAGTCTTTGACATAATATTCTTGTTGACCTTCCTGTATTTATTGGTGTATTGTTATTTATTTTGCAAAAAATTTAATATAGCTAAATTCGTTAACTGTATCTATACTAAAAATTTGTCTTTGTACTTTAGTTTACTTTCATGTTGATTTGTTTTTCTACAAGTTCAACAAAAAAAACGTTTGACTCTTTTTAGTCATTTTTTTTATAATATATCAATCCAAATACTTCTTGATTTTATTTATTTATTAGTATTAAGTGATAGACTTTATTTAATCTTCTAGCAAAGAAAATACAAAATCAAGAGTTCATTTTGCTAGACAAGATTTCCTTTTATTTTTATTTCTTAAATTTACATGTGCTTATAGATATTTTTATTATTCGAAGTATATCATAACTGCATATTTATAGAATACTTACAGCAGAAGTAAAATGATTTTTTTTAAAAAAAATATATATTAAAACTTTAACATTTTAAAATTTTATATGATTTATTTGCACTCTATTTTCTTCAATGCTAACTAATATATATATATATATATATATATAATTTTGTACTAAATAATACATAATCTAAAAAAAATAAATATTAAAAAGTGTTTTCATATTTAAAATAAATGTTTCCTCATTTCTCTCAATGCAAATATATACTTCTCAGTCCGTTTCTTTCAAGTTTTAAACAAATAAAATAACAATAATTTGGATTGATTAGGAAAAAGGGCCAAAGAATTTTCAAATCAAGATTTAAGAGGCACCACATATGCTCACAGATGTTAGAATTATACCAAGTTTTCTTGGTAAACAATCAATAAAAGCAATCACCAAAAAGAAAATCAATTTAATCTGAGAAATATATTGTAAACATGTAAATCAATCTACTGCCTCCTGCTTCACCTCTTTAAACATAAAGAGAGAGAGAGGGAGAGGGTGAAGAAAACACAAATTAGGGCTCCAGAAAATATCTATTGGTAGTATGGAAGACTTGGCAATTTCACAATCGTTTTCTATGCACTCTTGAACCAGAGCTAAAAAGGCTAGTTGATTGGCTCAACAGATTTAACAGTTAATTGGCTAATGTAACAGCACCGCCTACAAATGGCGGAAACTCATCTCAACTGCATCCCATATTTTATATTATAAATCAAACACTTGTAACCTAAACGTCAAAATTGCAACTAAAATGCTCAATGGACAGAGAATACAAGATGACTGTTTGAATCTATGAAATTATGTTAACTACAAAACTGGATTGCATATTATAATAAAAGCAAAAAAAAAAAAAAAGGAGAAAAAACTCATTCCTCAGGACACTTAAAATTGTGAATTACTGAGGAAGGAGACCATGCATCTCGCACTTTGGAACAATCTATCTACTCTCTGCCATACTGCACACTGAATTTCTAGAAGTTTCCTTGCCTTATCCTGTAGTTTTAAGTGGCAACGTAAAGTCTCGCCGTGTATCTGATCAGGAAAGACATGCAAGACATTAGAAAAAGCAACTATAAAGCCCACACCTAAAAGGTTTTTTTAA